GGTAAAGTGTATGGTTGAGTTATTACTGAAAGAATTAAGAGTAAGATGGAGAGTAGGATAGCAGATGAACAAGGAGGCTTTAGGAAAGGTAGGGGGTGTGTAGACCAAGTGTTTACAGTTAAACATATAGGTGAACAGCATTTAGATAAGGGTAAAGAGGTTTTTGTGGCATTAATGGATTTGGAAAAGGCATATGACAGTGTGGATAGGGGAGCAATGTGGTAGATGTTGTAAATGATGGAATAGGAGATAAGTTACTAAAAGCTGTTTAAAGTTTTTATGAGGATAGTGAGGCTCAGATTAGGGTATATAGGAGAGGGAGATTATTTCCCAGAAAAAGTAGGCCTTAGACAAGGATGTGTGATATCACCAAGGTTGTTCAATATACGTATTTATAAATGGGGTTATAAGAGAAGTGAGTGCTCAGGTGTTGGCAAGAGGTGTGGGGTTAGTAGATAAAGAATCTAACACAAAGTAGGAGTTGTCACAGTTGCTCTTTGCTGGTGACACTGTGCTTTTGGGAGATTCTGAAAAGAAGTTGCAGAGGTTTGTGGATGAGTTTGGTAGGGTATGTAAAAGAAGAAAATTAAAAGTGAATATAGTAAAGAGTAAGGTGATGAGGATAACAAAAAAATTAGGTGATGAAAGATTGGATATCAGATTGGAGGGAGAGAGTATGGAGGAAGTATTCAGATATTCAGATATTAAGGAGTGGATGTGTCAGCAGATGGGTCTATGAAAGATGAGGTGAATCATAGAATTGGTGAGGAGAAAAAGGTGAGTGGTGCACTGAGGAGTCTGTAGAGACAAAGAACTTTGTCCATAGAAGCAAAGAAGGGAATGTAGGAGAGTAGAGTTATACCAATGCTCTTATATGGGTGTGAAGTATGGGTGGAATGTTGTGGTTATCGAATGGTATACAATACCGACAGGTTGGTAGATAAGACATCAGATTGGAGGGAGAGAGTATGGAGGAGGTATTCAGATATTTAGGAGTGGATGTGCCAGCAGATGGGTCTATGAAAGATGAGGTGAATCATAGAATTGGTGAGGAGAAAAAGGTGAGTGGTGCACTGAGGAGTCTGTAGAGACAAAGAACTTTGTCCATAGAAGCAAAGAAGGGAATGTAGGAGAGTAGAGTTATACCAATGCTCTTATATGGGTGTGAAGTATGGGTGGAATGTTGTGGTTACCGAATGGTATACAATACCGACAGGTTGGTAGATAAGACATCAGATTGGGGTAGAGAGTATGGAGGAGGTATTCAGATATTTAGGAGTGGATGTGTCAGCAGATGGGTCTATGAAAGATGAGGTGAATCATAGAATTGGTGAGGAGAAAAAGGTGAGTGGTGCACTGAGGAGTCTGTAGAGACAAAGAACTTTGTCCATAGAAGCAAAGAAGGGAATGTAGGAGAGTAGAGTTATACCAATGCTCTTATATGGGTGTGAAGTATGGGTGGAATGTTGTGGTTATCGAATGGTATACAATACTGACAGGTTGGTAGATAAGACACATATGTGTCTTATCTACCAACCTGTCGGTATTGTATACCATTCGATAACCACTCTGTCAGACACTGCAACACAATGGCATCTTGGTACAGAAGAGAAAACACCTTGGACAACTTTTACAAGTGAGAATTGTTTGATCTGAGAGGGACATGACCTCCCAGTGGCTACATTCTCACTACTACTACTCTGCACCTCTCCTTCCTACAGTACTTAAGTCTCAACACTGTCGCTTGATCTTCAGTTAGTTCCATACTTTGGAACAGAACTTCTCCAGGATGAAGGACTGACAACCTCAAAACTATGACTTCAAGGGTGATGGACTGATTACATCGTCTTCACATCTCTACTGCTCCTGCCTACTTTCTGTACTCGACTGAAGAAGCCTACTGTGTAGGCAAAACGTTTCAGAATAAAGTTGCCTAAATGTTGCCTATGTGTCTTATCTACCAACGTGGATTGTTGTAACAAGGAGAAGGCTGGAGGCAGTGGAGATATCATGTCTGAGGGCAATGTGTTGTGTGAATATAATGCAGACAATTCGTAGTTTGGAAATTAGGAGGAGGTGCAGGATTACCAAAACTATTGTCCAGAGGGCTGAGGAGGGGTTGTTGAGGTGGTTCAGACATGTAGAGAGAATGGAACAAAACAGAATGACTTCGAGAGTGTATAAATCTGTGGTAGAGGGAAGGCGGGGTAGGGGTAGGCCTAGGAAAGGTTGGAGGGGGGGTGGTAAAGGAGGTTTTGTATGCAAGAGGCTTGGACTTCCAGCAAGCATGCATGAGCTTGCTAGATAGGAGTGAATGGAGACAAATGGTTTTTAGGACTTAACGTGCTGTTGGAGTGTGAGCAAGGTAACATTTATGAAGGGATTCAGAGAAACCAGCAGGCTGGATTTGAGTCCTGGAGATGGGAAGTACAGTGTAGGTACTCTGAAGGAGGGATGTTAATGTTGCAGTTTTATAACTGTAGTGTAAGTGTGCCTCTGGCAAGACAGTGATGGAGTGAATGATGATGAAAGTTTTTCTTTTTCAGGCCGCCTTCCCTTGGTGGGAGATGGCCGATGTGTTAATAATAAAAAAAATTGTTCTTCCTTACACTCACCTCGAGGTTCATTGATGTTGGCAAGGTGCTCCTGATCAAAGGAATTGATCCTTTGTGTCAATTCCTTCAATCAAGTCTGAATGCCTTCCATTCCCCAAGGCGCTGAATGACCCCTATGGGTTTAGTGCACCCCTCATGAATGTAATAATAATAATCCTTATACTATTATTGCCCAAAAGAGCAATTCTGTTTACTCTTGACAATCATGAACCACATTTTTGCTATAATATTCATCATGCTTGTAGGTAGTAGGTTGGTAGACAGCAACCACCCAGGGGGGCACTACCGTCCTCCCAAGTGAGTGTGAAACGAAAGCCTGTAATTGTTTTACATGATGGTAGGATTGCTGGTGTCCTTTTCTCTGTCTCATGAACATGCAAGATTTCAGGTACGTCTTGCTACTTCTACTTACACTTAGGTCACATTACACATATATGTACAAGCATATATATACACACCCCTCTAGGTTTTCTTCTATTTTCTTTCTAGTTCTTATTCTTGTTTATTTCCTCTTATCTCCTGGGGAAGTGGAACAGAATTCTTCCTCCATAAGCCATGCGTGTTGTAAGAGGCAACTAAAATGCCGGGAGCAAGGGGCTAGTAACCTCTTCTCCTGTATATATTACTAAATGTAAAAGGAGAAACTTTCGTTTTTCCTTTTGGGCCACCCCGCCTCGGTGGGATACGGCCGGTGCGTTGAAAGAAAGATTCATCATACTAATATATGCTACATTTGAGGACATTCAGGAACCCCTAAATGAACCCCAAAATTTTTGAAACTAAGCGCTAAATTTTTTTTTTTTCGAGTGAAACATTACGAAGAGGCAAGACAAAAAATAATGTCAAACTTTTATTTTTATGGAATACCCAAGTGGGTATGTTTTCTATTTCAGAATTTTAGGAGCTTTGTGCTTATGTCAGATATATGATTTGTAAGATGAGCAAATGTTATGAAAAAAACTATCTGGATCTTCAATACAGATGACAGGTTATCAGAGACCCCACCATGTACATGCAGAGAGGGTACATCTAACACGAAGGAAAGTAGGCCAGGATGAAATCCATGAAACTTCAGCAATGCACCTCTCAGAAATTCTGAAAAAGTAGAACTGTAGATGGATCCCAACAATATCCACAAAGGAGGTCCAGCACAAAGGCAATGAGAAACCAATGTAAAATATCCTACAAACATATATGTTTTAACAATCCAGCTGTCCTTTTTTTTTAACACTCCAGTCATCTCCAACTGAAGAAGGATGACTTGACAAAGAAGAAAACACTTTCATCAGAAGTGCATTGATACTGCCGTCCAACCCGCAACTTTCCCATCCCTCCTTCAGAGTGCAGGCACTATACTTTCCACCTCCAGGACTCGAGTCTGGCTAACTGATTTCCCTGAATCCCTTCATGAATGTTACCCTGCTCACACTCAACAGCATGTCTAATCATAAAAAAAGCACTCACCTCCATTCACTCTTATCTAACATAGTCACATAACTGTTGGATGTTCAAGCCCCTAGCACTCACACCTCTTTTACCCACTCCCTCCAACCATTCCTAGGAAAACCTACCCTTTCTTCCCTCCATCCATGAATTTATACACCCTCTAGGCATCCTATTTTTCCATCCTCTATAAACATCCAAACCAACTCAACAATTCCCCCTAAGCCTTCAGAATAATACTTTTGGTGACTCCACACCTCTTCTATAATCTCCAAATTATTATTATTTTTGAACATCCCAGCTCTTTTCCAAGGTAAGGTGACCTGAAAAAGAAGGAACACTTTCAGTCATTCACTCAATCACTCTCTTACCAGAAGCATGCTGACACCACAGTTTAGACTGGCCATCCAAATTGCAACAACCCTACCCCTCCTTCAGAGTACTGAACTTCACACTTCCAAGACTAAAGTGCAGCTAATCAGCTTCTCCGAATCCCTCAATGTTTGCTATACTCCTTGTACTCAAATGAGTCCATGTATCAAAGGATGATACCTTAATTGCAACTGAATCTTTTTCATCCATAAATGCCCTTAATTCCATGAGTACTAGTTATGGTTTGCTTGTAAGTTACGTCACTCACACTCCAACAACACATCATAAAAACAACTTGACTCCACTCACTCCTATCTAATGCATTCAAAAAGTTCACAAATTAAATTTTTTTTTAAAAAAGCCTGGACATCCTATACAAAGAGTCTGACTATAGTCAAGTATATATAGTATCTTACGATGTAGACACCTAACAATAAATGAAATAGCCTTAATCTGAACAAGCATTAATGAAGAAACAATCCTTTCTAAGCTAATTAGCTATACCCTCTGGGAAGAATGTAAGGCACTGTTCGTACAAACATTTGTAAGTTAAGAGCCAAGAAAGCTCACCTGAACGCTGGTGGCAACATAAACTAGTCCCTGAAGTGATGAACCAGCAGAGGACTCGAGAGGTATTGAAATGGGTATGCCAACCATGCCCTGAGTCAACTGAACAACGCCTTCACTGGATCTCACCTGAGAAAAAAAATTAGTCTAACTATTAACTCTCTATTTGTAAAATTTTCTTGACTGTATACAAAACTACTATGAAAATACAGATCATTAGAACTTCAAAAATTTCAAGAACATTTTTTCAAAACTTAACAATGCTTCCGAATATAAAACTAAACTAAGACCTTGCTACGTAAGTGATATCAAACTTTCAGAGACATTCAAGGAAAGGTCAAATAACAAATGTACTGTAAAACACATGGGAAACTTAGCAGCTCTTTCAGATCCCACGTGTAAAGTTGTATACCAAATGCCATCTCTCAGTACAATACTATATACAGTGGAACCTCAGTTTTCGTTTGCACTGGTTTTCGTCGAATTCAGTTTTTAACGATTTTCATTAAAAATTTTGCCCCAGTTTTCGTTCATCACCTCGGTTTTTGTCAAGATGACAGTGGTCCACTGTATCGAATGTGTCCGCCTGCGCCCCACACAAAGCATCCCACACATTCTGAGTCAGTCTGGCTTTGTTTCTCATCGGTAGAGGGTGGTAGTGGTAGTGATGGTGGTAGAGGGTGGTAGTGGTTATGATGGTGGTAGTGGTTGTGATGGTGGTAGAGGGTAGTAGTGATGGAGGTAGAAGGTGGTAGTGATGGTGGTAGAGGGTGGTAGTGATGGTGGTAGTGATGGTGGTAGAGGGTGGCAGTGATGGTGGTAGAGGGTGGTAGTGGTTGTGATGGTGGTAGAGGGTGGCAGTGATGGTGGTAGAGGGTGGTAGTGGTTGTGATGGTGGTAGAGGGTGGTAGTGATAGTGGTATAGAGATAACCTCTCCTCCCTCTCCCCTCTTCGCTGTCTTCCATAAGCCAAGAAGAGTCTTCAACAGAGGTAAAAGTGATGTTAAATGTTCATCTATCCATTTCATTAGTCCTTTATATTTATTTCTCATTGTTTTCCATATGTAAAACTACAGTTATTCTCTATAAAATGTATTTTTTGTTAATATTTTTGGGTGTCTGGGATGAATTAATTGGATTTACATTATTTCGTATGGGATACATTGCTGCAGTTTTTGCCAAATTTGGTTTTCGTCAGACTTTCTGGAATGAATTAATGACAAAAACTGAGGTTCCACTGTACCTTACATTTACACTGGTGTGACCACTAATGCACTGAAACTCACTTGTGACCAGTTTTGAGCTTTTCCACCCTGGCCACCCCTGGCCAAGCTGTGAGTTGCTAGCTGAATGCAATTTGTTTGCTCATTCAGCGCAGAACAAAGAGAAGATATCCAGTAAAAGGAAGTAAACTTGGTTCAGTTAGCCCAAGAGAGTCCACTGTAATTCACATAAATATTCCCAAGCCCAATTATAAATAATAACTAACTTGTTTTACATTATTTTATTATTAGATCATTATTCAATAATTATTACTCTTATTATTGGGCTACTGTACATAAAATATGCAGTATAACTACTAGTGTTACCCAAGATACATGCTCTGATGATGTACAAAATTATAAATGCAATTACAAACTCAATGGGCCATAAGAAAGTCTAGACAAACTATGTTTTCTAACATGATCATGTAAGAAAAAATACTGCTGATTATAATTTATCAAAAAATCTACAAGGCCATATTACTCGTTTGCCACGAGAGGCAAGCTTTATAAAGAAGGAGAGGATTCCCAGTGTTTGCCACCAGATATATTTACATTATAAAAAAAATCAGAGATATTCAGGAAGATAAACTTAAAGATAAGTTTAGTCTCCATGACAAATGGCAGGTAATGGGACATGGGTATAATATGATTATAATTTATAAATACATATATTTACACATTTCTTATTCACAATCAAAATATATCAGAAAGACCAGATACCTGAGCTTTTATCAAATTTTTATCCTAATATAAAAAAATAAAGATTTTTATGACTGCAACTGAACATCCCCCTTAACTTGTCTTAAGCCTTCAAGTGGCTATGTAAGTCATCAAAAAACACATTTTATTTAGTATTCTAAGTTACTTTTATCTACAAAATACTGACTTTTTATTTAATTAAATGAATGCAAAGCCAATGAGAAATGAAAAAGTGTATACTACATCAGCAATTCATCTACAAAGTAATTAATAACAATTTATTTTAACCCCTTAACTGTCCAAACGTAGATCTACATTGTTACTGCTAGCGCTCCTAACGTAGGTCAATGTTTTATTTTTCCTGCCTCCAAATTTGGCATGACTAGTCTGAGATGCTTGGTAAGTACACAATGGGTCTTAACATTCGGTGTGCACAGTTGTGAGCACCAGTTCAATTGAGCAAACAGTGTGGCAAAGACCAGGGATTCACTGATGTCATGTTGTATTAACACTCCCCTTTTAAGAGGAAAGTGATGCTGACCTTGAGTTTAGTGGCTTTAAGATGGATGTGGCTACAAGTGGTTGAGGAAATATCAAAAACCTCGATAATAACCAATGTGCAACATCCTTTCAATTCTGATACCACTGGTAGTGTCATCCTGCTAGAATGTCCTATAGCCTATGCCCTAAGTGAAGAGAAACAATTCTGGAACATGTGTAATATGTGTTTGGTAGGCAAGCTGGCTGGCTGGCTGCTGGATGGTTGGGTGGCTGACTGACTGATTGACTTTCGCTGTCTCTATGTCTGTCAGTCTGTCTGTATCTATCTCTATCTCTGTCTATCCTTGTCTCTATCTCTGTCTCTGTCTATCCCTGTCTCTATCTCCATCTCTGTCTATCTCTGTCTCTGTCTATCCCTGTCTCACAGGTACACATAAATACAGTTATTATTCATAGTGTAAATTACCTAGGATAACCCAAAACATTCAGACAAAGTGCTATTCAGTGCTTGTAGATATAAAGCATAATAAGCATGACTGGCAAGTAATATGAATTTTCACTTGTTCAGGAATCACATATGATGACTCTGCATTGTGTGTAATAACTGTTGGTTCATGAGTGGCTCTATGTAACAGAGAGACAAACAGATGGAGAGATAGGAAAAAAGACAGATAAGCAGAGACAGACATAAACAGAGACAGAGCTAGACAGAAATAAACAGACAGAGCTAGACAGACAGACAGGCAGACAGACAGACACAGTGAGAGACAGACAGACATGTTTATGTGTAACAGTGAAAACAAATAAAGCCAAGGCAGTGCACGATCATCAAATGTCACTCCACTGCTGCACTGTGGAGTGGACATTCGTCAAGGAGTTTCATATATACTCCAGAATGTCTAAAACATTGCTGGGACCTATAAATACTTTGTATATACGTATTTCTGCACAATAGTACGTTACCAAGGCAGGTGAAAATGTTCACCTGTCAGTGTGTTAGTGACTATTTGAGAACTATTTCAGTACCTAATATTAGTGTCAATAAACACTGGCAATGAAATCACAAGAACTACTACAAATTGTAATTATCAGAACATAAAAGTTATATAAATTAAAAAAAGAAAACGAGAAAAAAGGTATATCAGCAACACTTCTGCACGCAGCAGGATGCCATGTTGCCATCAGGTGAACATCCAGCTCCAACTTCGTGGTCTTATATCTCAGTAAGTACTGACCCTCAATTTTTTTTTTTTATTACACACAGAAAGTTGCCCTCTTTAATTAAAAAAAAACGAGATTTTTTTTTTTTTAAATATCTGGAGCACTGGGACAGAGAACGTAAATCTACATTTGGACACTTAAGGGGTTAAGCTACAGCTGACTGTCTTCTAAAATAGTAGTTACATTCCTGAAAATGGCACATGATAAAAAAAAATCAGGTAAAATACACTGAATAACACATGGGAAAAATAGGGTTATGTTCCTTAAATCCTCAGACAGCCAATTTTTTTTTTAGTCTCAAAATAGTAAAAATAGTTAATACAATACTTATAGATACAAAGGTTGCATAAATAATACATACTAAATTCTGGTTCTTGGTGTGTTGATAGTTTTAAAAGGGGTGGAGTGAGATGGTGCAGCCCTACAAGGCTGACAAACCATACCATGAGTGGGGTTTGAACCCGCAGTCAGAGAGTCTCAAAACTCCAGAAGCTAGCTGGTCCAGTGGCTAAAGCGACGGTCTGGAGTTTTGAGACTAACTGCGGGTTCAAACCCCACCCATGGTATGGTTTATTTATAATCATGTTATTACGATTTTGTGAGTCAGTTACAAGGCTGATGTGGAAGGGTGTGGATCATTGGCTGAGGTGGATGACTGAGGTTCTTGCGCTAATACATGTATTGATGATTGTACTCGAGTACTGGGGAATTCTGTAATGCATCTCTGGTCTGCTTACCCTGCAGTACCTTATACAGCTGATAGTAAGGTATCATCAACTGCTCCAGACCCCATTTCAGAGCAGTGCTTCTAGTTTTATCCAAGTCCCCTTCAGCGAAAAAATCTGTAACTTTACCAATAATACGACACTGCTCATGTAACTGTTGAAATGTTTACTGCTTTTCTTTAAGTTCTTTTTTGTCATCTTTGTCTATTATCTCCTTCCCCTGTATCTGGGCATTGAGCTCTGCACACATTTCCTCATGACTTCTTTCCTCATCATTCTCTTTTATCAGTTTATTCACATCATCTTCCTGCATATCTTCAAAGCCCTCACTTGCCAATCTTCTTGCCAGCTGAACATTTCCTGGACCTGGCTCTCACCTGAGGGGAAAACCCTGTGAAAGTATTCACCATTCTAGGCCATAGCTTTTCCCAGCATGCATTTGATTGTTATTGGAGCACTTTGTTCCATGCCCTTTTGACAAAGCTGAAAGCATCTGCAATGTTAAATTTATTTTTTATTTTTTTATTATCACACTGGCCAATTCCCACCAAGGCAGGGTGGCCCAAAAATGAAAAACTTTCACCATCATTCACTCCATCACTGTCTTGCCAGAAGGGTGCTTTACACTACAGTTTTTAAACTGCAACATTAACACCCCTCCTTCAGAGTGCAGGCACTGTACTTCCCATCTCCAGGTAGTAGGTTGGTAGACAGCAAC